CCGGGCGCGGTGGCTCAAGCCTGTAATCCCAGCACTTTGGGAGGCCGAGGCGGGTGGATCACGAGGTCAAGAGATCGAGACCATCCTGGTCAACACGGTGAAACCCCGTCTCTACTAAAAATACAAAAAATTAGCTGGGCATGGTGGCACGTGCCTGTAATCCCAGCTACTCAGGAGGCTGAGGCAGGAGAATTGCCTGAACCCGGGAGGCGGAGGTTGCGGTGAGCTGAGATCACGCCATTGCACTCCAGCCTGGGTAACAAGAGCGAAACTCCGTCTCAAAAAAAAAAAAAAAAAAAAAAAAAAAAGACTCCATCTCAAAAAATATATATATACACACACGTATATTTATATATATAATCAAAAAATATATATATATATATTCAAAACTACTTCTCTTCCTCCACCTATTCTCCTCTTCTGCCTCCTCATTCTTCTTTTTTCTCTTTTTTCTTTCTTTTTCTTTTGAAATGGAGTCTTGTTCTGTTGCCCAGGCTGGAATGCAGTGGCACGATCTCGGCTAACTACAACCTCTGCCTCCCGGGTTCAAGCAATTCTCCTGCCTCAGTCTCCTGAGTAGCTGGGATTACAGGCATGCGTCACCATGCCCAGCTAATTTCGTATTTTTAGTAGAGACAGGGTTTCACCATATTGGCCAGGCTAGTCTTGAACTCCTGACTTCATGATCCACCCACCGTAATCTCTCAAAGTGCTGGGATTACAGGCATGAGCCACCGTGTCCGGCCACATTCTTCTTTTCTTCTTCTCCTCCTCCACTCTCCTCCTCCCCTTTTTTCTTCTTGTCCTTCTTCTCCTTCTCCTCTTTCTTCAATTCATCCTCCTCCTCTTCTTCTTTCCCCTCCTCTTCCTTTGTCTTCCTCACTTCTTCTTTTCCTTTTCTGATCAGTAGAGCCCTGAAGCCAACAGGTATGGCAGAGAAGACAGAGCTGTGCAGAGGTGATGTGAAATGGGGAGCTCCAAGCAGAGTGAGGAGGGTGTCTATCCAGGGATGTCAGAGGGGAGCGTCAGAACCTGAAGAAGGAGGGCACTTTTGCACACAGGGATGGGCCCTCATAGGTGTAAGAGCTTGAACTGCAAGAGTGGAGTTCTTTGCCAGAGGGCATCCCAGCAGTGGGAAGCAGGACCAAGCAGGATGAGGAGCCGGTCATGCTGGAGAGGAGCAGTGGCTGAGACGAAGGGCTTGTTACACTCAGGGGATTGATTGAACAAATGAGGAAATATATTATGATTAATGGGAAATGGGATGTTTCCCATCAGAGAAGGGATTTACACATACGGGAAGGCAGAAAACGACAAAGACCCATGTAGTACTGGATTGCAACTGGAGGCAAAGGAGTGAATTCATGGATTTCAATGTTTCATGAGTGAACTAACACATGAATGCAAATGAGAGACCACTTCCAACAAAGTCAGGATCAAGACAATGGCACCCAACTATCACAGTGATTATTTAACATTCTAACAGTGGGGTTCTTGGTTGCAAAGGAAACCAATTTGGGTTAACTTAAGCAACAAAAAGGAATTCATTCATAGGACCTTGGACAGCTGACAGATTGGATGAAAAGACTAAAGTACCAAGTTCAGAAAGTGGGTCAGAACCCAAGGAATCAATGAAAGAAGAACCATCTCCAAGTTTCCCTAGGGACAGCCTAGTTCAGTGGCATCAAAATGAGCACTGAACCCTTCTTTACGTCTTTATAAAGTCTCAGTGTAAGTTTAGCCAGATACCTGCATGCTAGCCACTAGGTTTCCAGGAAAGCATGTATCTAGCTTTTAGGTCCTTAGTGGTGAGAACCTCCTATCATGACTCACACAGTGATGGAACCCCCAATAGAGAAATGTAATTCAGCTGCGCACTGCAAACAATGCTCCGAGGGTGCTAGCCAAATGCAATTACAAAAAAGAGCCATAAAAACGGTATTAACGCTGGAAGGGATATATCTTAATTACTGCAATTACCATGATTATATATCTGGGAAATTCAAAATTAACTGGGAAAAGAATTAAGGCAAGGAAGGGAGGGAGGGAAAGGAAGGAAGCGAAGGAGGGAGTGAGGGAGGGAGGGAGGAAGAAGAGAGAGAAAGAAAGAGGGAGGGAAGGAGGAAGGGTGGGAGAGAGGGAACAAAAGAAAGAAAGAAGGAAGGAAGGGAAGAAAGAAAGAGGGAAGGAAGGAGGAAGGGAGGGGGAGAGAGAGGGAACAAAAGAAAAAGAAGGAAAGAAGGAAGGAAGGAAGAAAGAGAAAGGAAGAAAGAGAAAGAAACAGAGAGAGAGAAAGAAAGAGGGAGGGAAGGAGGAAGGGAGGGGGAGAGAGAGGGAATAAAAGAAAAAGAAGGAAAGAAGGAAGGAAGGAAGAAAGAGAAAGAAAGAAAGGAAGAAAGAGAAAGAAAGAGAGAGAGAGAGAAAGAAAGAGGGAGGGAAGGAGGAAGGGTGGGAGAGAGAGGGAACAAAAGAAAGAAAGAAGGAAGGAAGGAAGGAAAGAAAGAAAGAGGGACGGAAGGAGGAAGGGAGGGGGAGAGAGAGGGAATAAAAGAAAAAGAAGGAAAGAAGGAAGGAAGGAAGAAAGAGAAAGAAAGAAAGGAAGAAAGAGAAAGAAAGAGAGAGAGAGAGAGAAAGAAAGAGAATGAAAGAAAGGAAGAAAGAGAAAAGGCAAACAGACAATGTGGCTGTGATGGTAACTTTCTCAGCCAAGACAAGAAACCCAAAAGCTGTGGAGAAAAACAGTGGTCATAAGTGACTATGTGGATATAAAAAACTGTGTGGTAAAATATACCAAAAACAAATCAGTGGACAAGGGGTCCGGGATGGTAAATTTTTCAATACATGTGGCAGATAAAAGTCAAGATCTATATTCCAGCAAGAAGTCTTACAAATTGAATTTTTTTTTAAAGACAAACATTCCAATAGAAAATGAGCAAAGAATGTAATTAGAGAATTCACAGAAAAGCAAATCCAAAAAGCGAAACATGAAACAACTGCTCAAATTAACCAGCAGTTTGAAAAGTTCTTATCTGAGTCAAAATAAAATGTCACCTTACACCTATGAACCGGAAAAATTGTAACACCCTTAAGCTGGCATGGGTGTGAGGAAATGTGACCACCTTTAAGCTGGTGTGAGTGTGAGGAAAGGCATGCCCTTACCTGTAGAAGCAATCTGGCATTGTCCATTAGCTGTACTCACACACATTCACTTCACCTCAGAATCCCCCTCCTGGGAAGCCCCATTGAAACAAAAGCAGCAGTACAGAAGGTAAACACACAGGGAGGTTAATTGTTGCATTATTCATGGTGACAAAACTGGAAATAAAGTTAATGCCCATCGATCTGATAACGGCTGAGTAACTTTGGTTTGCCAACACCATTGAGTACAGGATAAAGGTTTAAAAATCACATAAATTGAACAAAGAAGCAGCTAGGCAAAATCAATTTCCCTTAAGCCAGACATGAAAGGGATTTGCAAAAAATGTAAAACAACGTCAGTCTTTACATTGATTTTTGTTTTTGATAATGTAGGTATTTTTCATGAAATATATTAATTCTGTTAACAATGAACATATCACATGCACGGGGCCAGGTGTGGTGGTTCATGCCTGTAATTCCAGCACTTTGGGAGGCTGAGGTGGGCAGACTGCTTGGGCTCAGGAGTTGAAGACTGGCCTGGGCAATATAGTGAAACCTCATCTCCACAAAAAGTAAAAAAACGTAGCCAGGTGTGATGGCACACACCTGATGTCCCAGCTACTAGGGAGGCTGAGGTAGGAAAATCACTTGAGCCCAGGAGGTAGGGCTTGCAATGAGCCAAGATCTTGCCACTGTACTCCAGCCTAGGTGACAGGGTGAGACTCTGTCTCTCTCTCTCTCTCTCTCTCTCTCTCTCTCTCTCTCTCTATATATATATATATATATATATATATATATATATATGGGTTTATCATTGCCATTTAAAATAAATGATATTTTGAAAATAATTCTCATTGAATAAAGACTATAAGGGAACTATAAATGTAATTAGAAGAAAATTAGACAACTCAATAGAAAAATTCACCAATGATCTGAGTTGATATCTTAGTCAATTCAGGCTGCTGTAAGAAAGTAGCACAAATAAACAAAATACCACTTTGAGAGATTCATTTCTCACAATTCTGGAGGGTGGGAAGTCCAAGATCAAGGCACTGGCAGAGTAGGTGTCTGGTGAGGGCCCACTTCCTGCTTTGTAGAAATGAGGACTTTTGGCTGTGTCCTCACATGCTGAAGGGGAACTCTGGGGCCTTTTTCATACGGGCACCAATCCCATTCATGAGGGCTTTGCTCTCATTACCTCATCACCTCCCAAAGGCCTTATCTCAGAATATCATCACATTGGTGATTCAATCTCAACATATGAGTATAGACAGACACACACATTCATAGCAGTAAACTTCACAAAAAGAAAATCCAAATGACCATGAATTATATAAAAGAATTCTGAATAAATTATTATTTTAAAAATGTATGGTGAAATTAGCAGTATTGCACCAATATTAATTTCCTGGCTTTGAACATTATGCTGTGGTTATGTAAGAGAATAACATTAGGAGAGTTCAGTGAAGGATTTGCAGGAATTCTCTGTACCGTTTTCACAACTTTTCAAAACACTAAAATTAGCTCAGCATAAACAGTTAAAAATGTGGAGGAGTCAAATTTTAACATTTTACATTAGAATATGAGAACAATGATTTCTCGGTACTTTTAGCTGTTGATTTTTTCTCTTTTCACCTTACTGCACAGTTCTGGTACTAAATAGATGCTCACTTTGCCGGCAAAAGTTCCTGTGTTAGTGATATTGCCAAGTTATTAAAGCTTCCTTCCTCACGAATAGAAACTAACACAAAGAAAGGATTACTTCCTCTTTGAGAAGCTTTGGTCAAAGTTGATGATGCAATTTAATTAAAACAATACCACAAACTGAATATTCGTTTACTGCTTGAAAAGCTACTTTCTAGATCCTTTTGTAGTTCGTTAAGTGTGAGGACTGGGTTTTCAGGCTCATGTATAAGATGTGCCTCCCTCATTCCTTGTTACAACATGGGCACATTACTCATCAGAACAGGAAAAAAAAAAGCGAGTTTCTGAATAGTTTCAGAAGTAGATGTTAAGATTCATCTTAAAGTAGTCACATAGGTCAAAAAATGAAACATACACAATATTTCAGAATCTCCTGCACATGGCTTCCCCAGTAACAACCCCTGCCTCCCTCCAAAGTCAGCAGCGTTCTAACTTTTTTTAAATTTTGCCCTCACTTTTCTTTTTATTGCTATTAGTTATATAGTTTTCCTTTATTTTTAAGATTACATATTTACATATATGGAACAAGATTCTATGTGTTCACTTGATTTTGCAAATTTTTATAATGTCACATTGATGAGTGTACTCTATGTACTCATGTAGCTGTATTTCATTTTCATCTTTTTCATTGCTGAATAGTATTCCATTATGTGAATATACCACGCTTCATTGATCCACTTGCCTTATAAGCGGGAGCTAAATGATGAGAACACATAGAGAGGAACAACACACACTGGGGCCTATTGGAGGGTGGAGGGTGGGAGGAGGGAGAGGATCAGGAAAAATAACTAATGAGTACTAGGCTTAATACCTGGGTGATGAAGTAATCTGCACAACAGACCTCCAGGACACAAGCTTACCTGTACAACAAACCTGCACGTGTACCCCAAACTTAAAATAAAAGCTTAAAAAAAAGTATATTCAATGGTTGAGATTTAACACAATTAATAGCTTTTACTGTTTCATCAAGTGCAATCTCAAATAAGCTGGAATTTTTTTACCTGTGAGTGTGAGGTGATAAAGACTGCAACTTCCAGCACAATTTAATGCTACTACCTGGCTTCCTGCGAAGGCTGCAGCCTTTCCATGTACCATTGCTTTTGCAGCAGCAACGTAATGTCAACACAGTGAAAAAAGCAAATAACATCTTTGTATTATTACTCAAATAGTTTTGACCTTGAAGATGCCCCCTGAAACAATCTTGGGATCTCCTAGAACCCTGTCTTTAGAGTATGCATCTTAGTGGAATTTCTGTAGGTATGCGTGTATGTCTGTGTACAGATGCTCCTTAACTTATGGTGGAGTTTCATCCCGATAAATCTGACATAAACTGAAAATATCATAAGCCACAAGTAATTTTTTACTTAACAATATTTTCCATTTATGATTGGATTATATTAAGTGTGTACTCGGTATACTGAAGTACTAAATGTGTATGGGTTTTGCACTATCATAAAGATGAAAAATTCTAAGTTGAACCATCATAGTCAGGGATGGTCTGTGAGTGTGTGTATATATGTCCTACTTCAGCAGATAAAGCTAAATAATTTTCCAAAATAATTGCATGAACTTACACTCCCAAAAGTGTACAATATGAGAGTTACTATTACCCCACATCCTTGCCAAACCCTTAGTACTTTCCATTTTTAGCAATCTGATGAATCTGTAGTGGTACCCACTATGATACTGATTGGTTTCTACTTCTAAAGAGGTCAAGGACCTTTTCTTATACAATTGGAGTTCATTGGATTTTCTTCTTGTAAAATCACTTTTGAAGTCATTGCTCAATTTTGCCATTGGATTGCCTGATTTTTTTTTTTTTTCTAACTGGATTTGTATCTTCCTCAGTTGATGAGAATTGTTTTGGATGAAGATAGAATTTCATCAGACTCATTTCTCCCTTCACTGGGATAGTCATATTATGTTTTTTCTTGTATTTGTGCTTGGGATAAATACACTAAGTGAGTTTCTAATGTTGAACCGCCCTTGCATTGCTGACATAAACACACATTGGCTATGATGCATTATCATTTTTATGTCTAGTTCTATTTAATTTGCAAGTTTGGCTAAATATTTGTGCCGCTATATGCCTAATTCAGATTTGCCCATACTTTCATTTGTTCATATTGTTGAGTTTGAGTATGAATTTTATAATTAGCCAAGTAAATAAGCAAGAGTTTGAATAGGAATAGAATCCTTTCTTCCTTAAGTTTTGGTACAGTTTGCTGGTAGACCTAAAGTTTAGCCATCTTGACCTAAAGTTTGCTTTGTGGGATGATTTTTACTACTGAGTCTTCTGAATAGTTTTAGAACTATTCAGGTTTTCTACTTATTTTCTGAGGCTGTTATACTAAATTAAATATTTTTATTCATTTATCCATTTAATCTAAATGTCAAAGTATGTGAAATTGTTCAAAATATTATCTTTATTTTCTCAATGTCTGCAACGTCAGTGGTTATGTCCTTTTTTTTTTCTGACGTTAGTTATGTACGCCTTCTCCATTTTCATTGTTGCTACACTCCCCAGAGGTTTATCAATTTTATTACTTTTTCACTGAACAAGTTAGGGCTTTGTTGATTCTATTGTATGCATTTCAAAACATGTATTATTTTCTACTTATTTTACTATTTTCTTATGTCTACTTTCCTGATTTTTTTTTTTTTTTTTTTTTTTTTTTTTTTTTTTTTTTTTTTTTTTTTTTTTGAGACGGAGTTTCGCTCTTGTTGCCCAGGCTGGAGTGCAATGGCGCGATCTCGGCTCACCGCAACCTCCGCCTCCCGGGTTCAGGCAATTCTCCTGCCTCAGCCTCCTGAGTAGCTGGGATTACAGGCACGCGCCACCATGCCCAGCTAATTTTTTGTATTTGTAGTAGAGACGGGGTTTCACCTTGTTGACCAGGATGGTCTCGATCTCTTGACCTCGTGATCCACCCATCTCGGCCTCCCAAAGTGCTGGGATTACAGGCTTGAGCCACCGCGCCCGGCCTCCTGATTTTTTTTTAATCTCTTGAGAAGAAAGACTGAATCCAGTTTATCTTATTTCAATTCCAGTAATATGATTATAAGCTATTCATATCTATCTTAGTCCATTTAGTCCTCCTAAAGAAGCAATACCTGATGATGGATCATTTATACAGAAAAGACATTTATTTGGCTCACAGTGCTGCAGGCTGTATAAGAAGCATGAAACCAGCATCTGGTTCTGATGAGGCCTCAGGCAGCTTCTACTCATGGAAGAAGGTAAAGGGGAGCCCCATGTGCAGAGATTACATGAGGAGAGAGGAAGCAAGAGATAGAGACAGTGGAGGTGCCAGGTTCTTTTTTAACAACAGCTCTTGTAAGAACTAATCGAGCAAGAACTCACTCACTACCATGAGGACAGCACCAAGCCATTCATGAGGGACCCACTCCCATAACCCGAACATCTCCATTAGGTTCCATCTCCAACACTGGGGATAAAATTGTAACTTAAGATTTGGAGTGGTCAAATAGCCAAATATCTCTCTAAATATTTTCTAATTTCCAACCTGACTGCTGACCCATGGATTACTTAGAAGCGACTTCTTAATTTTCAAGCTTTCAAGAGTTCAATAATATTTTTCTTTCAGATCTCCATCTTGACAGCAAAGTGATTAGAAAATATAATTTTTGTGATATGAATCTCTTAAGCTGTGTTGAGATGTTTCTTAATGGCTCAGTCTCTGATCAAGTTTTATAAACATTCTGTGTGTGCTTTAATAATGAATGTATTGTTGCTGTTGTGAGCATAGTTTTGACTTTTGCTTAAGTCAATTTGTTAATGATGTTAATGATGTTGTGTAGATTTTCGATATCCTCCCTTTTTTCATCTAATTTACTCATTAATGAAAGAGATATGTTAAAAAATCTCCCACTATCATTATGAATTTGTACTTTTTCTGTAGTTCTGACAACTTTGGATTTATATATTTTGAGGTTGCATTATTTAGTGTATACTAATTCTGTTTTTTAAATATTCTGACAAAACTGTTATCATTGTGATATGATCTTCATTACTGGTAAGTATTTTGCCTAAACACTTTACCTAGATAAAGTTTATTTTAGCTGATGTGAATATATCTACCCGGGTTTCTTCTGGTGAGTATTTGCTGCATCATATACCCATTTTCATCTTTTTTTCTCTGATATTCTTGTACCATTATGTTTTAGATGTGCTTGTAAATAGCATAAAGCTGGATATCTTTTTGGCCTAGTTTAGCAAACTGATTTTAACTGAAGCCTTACATTACATTTAATGCAATTACTAATACATTTAGTTTTGAATCTACCGTTTTTGTACCTTTTTGTGTTCTGCCTTGTTTGGTTTTGTATCATTTTTCCTTTTTTTGCCTTTTCATTGGTTCCTTTTTTCTTCTTTCTGGCCTATGTTTGGACTGCTGGAGCAATTTTTATTCTTCTTAATCCCTTTATTTTCCACTAGCTTAGAAGTTTTACTCTCTGTTGCTAATTTTACTACCTATTCTTTAAAAATGATAAAATACACAGTTAATAAAATCTAAAGATAGTGAACTTTAAAGCTTCTACAACTTAAGATAGGACATTAGAACCCTTTACTCAATTTGCACATCTCCAATACAACTACTATTTTCTTATTTTATATGTGTCTTATATTTACGCCTCCCACTTATTTTTATTGTGTTATGGTTACTCAAATTATTACCAACGGCGAAATAACACAGAGTGCAGGTGGAGGCCAAAGCATTGGGAGATTAAGTGGCACGCAGTCACCTTGTGAGAAAGGTTATTATGAAGGCTGTGTGGCAGACAGGCTGCCTCTGACCAACTCGAAGACCAAACAAAAAAGGAAAAGATCAACGAGTCCTTGCATGACGCATGTTAGAAACATCAGAAAGCATCCATGGCTACCTTAAAAGAATCACTTATTTTTGTTATCTGCCAGGTAAATGCACAACCCCTCCAGGTCCCACACATTGAACAAGAAAATAATTTTAAGGCCAATAAAGTACAATGGTTGGCCTCATTACCCAGAAGCAGGTGATTTGAGGTATGGATGGATGACTTATGGAAGGCAAGTCACCGTGCCATCTGGAGGTGAACATTTGGTGAGGTCAGGTGAGGTGCTATTGAACAGTATTCGCCTTAAACCAGCACCAATATACAGTGCCATTTCTCCCAGAGCCAGAAAACACAGTGTGAAGACCAGGAAGTGGAGGGAGGACTGGCCCTTTTCCCATTCCATCTAATCACACACGTGCAATTTTTG